AGCAGCCTCAGGAAAACAGGCCAAGTCAGCACTCAAATGACCAGATTCTCCATTTCTACAAATTGAGGTGCACCCACCAGTGCAGGGGACACTGCCACCTGCCCCCCAAGCTGGTCAGGCATCGGGTCAAGAGAAAGCCAGCTCCAGTCTTTGGACTTGGTGTTAGTTACTGTGAGCTGCTCTCTGAATGCCACAGTTGTAAATGGCTTGGGCAGCAAGGAAAGGGAGAAGCCAGACCTGGAGAAATGGCCAAAGCAGATCTGCTTTGCCCTTTCTGTAGGTTAGATGTGTGAATCCATCCTAACAGGCCCTTGGGAGCTGGTGTAGTGGTTTGCTAAAAAGAGAATTCAGGGGTAAAGTTACATTGCAATGCTGCTTTACTGTCTGTAATGACTGGGAAATGATGAGAGAAGTCACCTCAGAGGTTTTAATAGACACAGAAGAAGTGCTATATGAGGTCTGTAAAGAGACCTTTTTTCTGGAGCCAAACTGACTGAATACCTGCTTACAGGAAAAATAGGATATCTTTGAAAAAAACCATTACCTTTATGTCAAGGAGTTGTACTTTATAATAAACCTCCAGCACTTTCACCTTCTTCCTGCAGTCCCAAGAGGCTGAAGGTGCCTGTAGATGCTAAAACCAGCAGTGACCCAAAGAGGGGAGAAAGATAAAGAGCGTGAAGGAGCAGCCTTCCTTGCTGGAAGGTCAGCTGCTCTTACCCGAGGCCTGGCCAACACTGAGCTCACATGTGATTGAACAAGAAGCTACACATTTAATTCCAGGCTGACATGATAATGTTGAGATGAGGATCGTTGGTGTTTTTGTGCAGTTATTTTTCACTTTCAAGTAGTGAAGAATGCCTCAGGTTTTGATAACAGGATGCTACAGAAGGAGGCATCAGTGTAGGATGCCAAAAACCGAAAGGCTTATGAAATGAAGACCTTCCCTTTCCCCATCTCCCTCAACCCTTGCGATTCTCTCATGACCCCCCTGAATGCCGCATCCCCTTGTCTGTTGGCATGCATTTCCTTCACCACATGACACCCTTTGCCTGGAAAGTTCCCCCCACTAGCTGAATCTGTAGTCTCTGAATGCCCTTTAATGAGTAGACACCATAGTTTTCACTTTGACCTCACCCACCCCGGACTTAGTTTGCTTTGCATGGTAGTTTTGCATTGGAATGGCAATAGTTTTGTTTTATTGAGCATGATTTTTATTTTTGGGGGTCAATCCTAATTTCTTTTCTATTTCCTTTTCTTTCCTCAATGTCTGCTGCACCCCGTTTCGTCTCCTCCATCCATCTCGTCGCCGTGGTTACGCTGCTCCGTAACACTGCATTACGGTCCTGGCACACCCGCACACAACCACCCACCACCCTCCTTCCTTCCACCTCCAACCCCTCCGCCTCTGTGCATCGTTATCAAAAAAAAAACCAAACCAAACCAAAAACAAACAAACCTGGCGGATGTCGCGGTGCTTGTTGTCCAATTAGGGTGAAAATTCCTTCCTACAGGCGACTGTGGCAAAACTGGGACCTCTTCCTCGTATTCTTGCCGATATCACCAAATCAATGACCAACCCTACACCGATACAGCAGCAGCTGAGGCGTTTCACTGAGCACAGCTCTACTCCAAACGTCAGTGGCAGTCTCTCCTCAGGGCTTCAGAAGATATTTGAGGACCCCACTGATGGGTATGTAACAGCCAGAGCTCCAGGGAAGCTGTGGGATAAAGGGGTTGTTAGGGGTTGAGTCCTTCATCACCTGAACTGTCTGCCCAGGCCAGCTGCAGGAGTGGGGAGCTTGGGCCTCCGTCACGGGGAATACACAGTCCCAGTGAGAAGGTACACAGGGTGGAGACCTGAAGCTTTTGACTTCTCCAGGATTCAAACATCTCTCTGGGAGCTGATGATTTTAGCTACTAAAAAACAGTCTTGCAATTTATTGCCAATCTATACGTCCGGATGCATAGTCAGCCATAACGTTTCCTTTTGGAGATCAGGCCGTTTATTTACTGCTGATGAAAAACCTGGGCTGTAGGTAGAACCTGTTACCAGTGGAACAGCAAAAATAGTCCCTCCTCTGTCTAGCGCAGCATTTCTCCCTCTGTAATAACTGTTAATCTGAAGCAAAAAGCTGTGACGTGGCAGAACTGCCAAAAAGCTTGGTTGGATGCTGTGGTCTCTGAGAAGTTTCTGGGCTGTCAGGTGGGAGGGCTGCTTTTGTCACGTGGAAGTGTCTACCCTCCGAGATCACCTCTAGATCTGCAGGAGCCTTCACACAACTCCTGTTGAACCTTCAGGCACCCACAATGCATAATGCTGGCGAAGGGTTAAATGGGGTCTGAACTGGTCTTGCTGGAGACAGAAATGTCTAAGGGGGAGGATTCGGTGGGTACCGTTTGCATTTCACCTGTGGAAAAAATAAAGATGAAGCGCTTCTTGGATCAAGTGTAATTCTCAAAGATAAGTGGTAATTAAGGAAGAGTGTGTTCTAACTTGAACACAAATTGCTCATAAAAGGAAATGTGGTTCCTTGAAGCTTCAGTTTGGGGGGGGGAGGTTAAATGAGGTAGAAAGACTTCTTTAGGAAAGATCTCTCATGGTCTTGGCTGCTTAAAAATTAACCAAATTCCTTTCCACTTCACAGTGACTTGCATAAGCTGAAGTCTCCAGCCCAGGAAAATGTGGACGGATATTTTAGGGGCAAGACCTTACTGTTGGTTCAGCA